AGTGGATGTGGTCAGTTGGATGGATGTGGTCAGTGGGGTAGATGTGGTCAGTGGGGTGGATGTGGTCCGTGGGGTGGATGTGGTCGGTGGGATTGATGTGGTCGGTGGGATGGATGAGGTCAGTGTGGTGGATGTGGTCAGTGGGATGGATGTGGTCACTGGGATGGATGAGGTCAGTGGGGTGGATGAGGTCGGTGGGGTGGATGAGGTCGGTGGGGTGGATATGATCGGTGGGATGGATGTGGTCAGTGGGGTGGATGAGGTCGGTGGGGTGGACACAGTGGGTGTGGTGGATGGCGTGGATATGGTGCGTTGGGGGCTGGTGCTTGGGGGCGGGCTGGTCGGCGCCAGGCAGCCCTCCCTGCTGCCATTGGAGACCAGCCAATGGTGGGCCATGTCCTTGCAGGTAGGCGCCATGGTGCCATCTGGCCGGCGGCAGTCATCCACCTGACTGTTGGTGCAGGTGCCTGGGATGGGGATGGAGGGTCACCGTGCGGCCAGGCTGGGCCCCCAGGATTCTGCTCTCACTCACCTCTCCTCGCCTCCCACCCCCAGACTCTCCCCTCATGGCCCTTTGGCTATAAGAACCCCCACTGAGGCCAAGCAGCAGTTCCAGCCTGGGGGAGGCAGGGGGCCCCTGAGCCAAGGCTGTGGGCTGGCTCGGCAGTCACGTGGAGCAGATAAGATTCCAGATGGGTGTGGGTGGGTGGGAGCTGCCTGGGACTGCCCTTCCATGGGGGTGTGGTGGGGGGAGGCTTCAGGCCCAGGCGGGTACACATTGGTGGTGTAAGGGTCCCTCACCGCACTGGCCCTCTGTGTTGTGTCTGAATTGACTGTAGGAGAGCCGGGCCTGGAAGATGTTCCCATTGAAGGTGATGTGGGCACCGATGGCAGGGATGTCCACCCCCATGGTGCCAGCCACTGTCTCAGAGATGCTCACGCCATTCTTGCTGAAGCCCTGGCTGACGTGTTCACCGTCGAACAGGATCTGGGGGCGTGTTGGGGAAAAGCCTATCACTGGTGACCACGGTGCCACCTCCCTCCAGTCAGCCTGCAGAACTGTTCCTGGAATGCCGGGCTCCCCCCTGAGCACCCCACCGCAAACGCAGTTTCACTGGGCTTGCCCACATGCAGTTGGCTGTGTTGGGGTCCACAGCTCTCTGCTGCAGGAAACCCCCCTCGGCCTTCCCCGCTCCCACACATCTCCCCACGATGTGGGTGCCGTTCTCTCTGCCACACATGTGACCCCGGACCTGGGGTGTAGCCATGGAGCGTGAGTGCAGCCTGTGCCCAGGACAGATCCACCTTAAATGACCTGAGCTGGGGTGCTGGAGGGCTGTGCTATGTTGTCGGTGAGCTCCTGGGAGGTGACACTGGGGCCCATTTGCCAGGTCCCCAGCCCCTGGCTCTGGGGGAGCCCACTGACTGACACAAGGCCCTACACAGCGTCCCTAATAAACATGAGGGTGGGAGGGGGGTTGGTCAGCATGGGTCGGAGGAGCACTCAGTTGCAGTTTGGTTTCCCAGCTGGCTCGTGATGCAGGGGAAGGCCGGGCCCCGCCCTTCGCCTCCCCTTGTCGTAACCTCTCTGCTGGCTGAGCCCCTGCTTGGGGGGCTCCACCTCTGTTGCCCCTGGGTCCCCTCCCCAGAGTCTCCCCATCAATCTGGCCCCTCCTGTCCAGTGTCCTCTGCACCTCGGCCTCCACTTCCTGCACACACACCCCCACCGTGCTGGGCCTCCCTCTGCACCTCCACCAAGGGTCCCCTGCAGCCTGGCCTCTCCTGGCATCCGTGAGCCCCTCCCTGCCCTGTCTCCACCTCTGCTCCCAGCAGCCCAGCACCACACTCTCCTGCCTGGTCTCCTCCTGGGCCTCTTCCCTCCAGCTCCCCCACCCTGGTCATCCAGCCAGCTGTCTGACCCGTGGGCCTGACCCAGCCATTCTCCTCCAAGGCCCTACAGGAGAGCCCAGCGCGTCCTGCAGCCCACCCTCCCCTTTCTTCCCCTTTGGAAGTGCACACTCCTGTGTCCCCCCGTGGGCCACACCAGGGACCACAGGGCCTGCAGGTCATCAAGGCCAAGGGTGGGTTGGGGAGGTTGGGACCCACCAGGCTCTGCGTCTCCCTGCCATGTTCAGTGATGGTGAGGATGATCTCCATGGACAGGTAGTAGATGAGGAGGGCACGGGGACAGTGGGTGGCACCCACGGCAGCGGCCGCGCAGTACTGGTAGTCAATGAGGATGCTCAGGTTGCCGAGGCGTGGGCGGATCTCCCGCAGGAGCACGTAGGTGCAGTTGCCCAGGAAGGAGAAGGTGGTGCCGTCGAAGGTGGAGTAGTGGGAGTCGCCCCAGATGGTGCAGACGCCTGCGGGACAGAGCATGGTGAGGCTCTCGGGGTACTGTCCTTGCCACTGTCCTGCCTCCTGTCATCCAGCACCACCCCCGAAAGCTGTCACCTCCAGAGAGTCACTTGGCCTCACAGGCCTCATCAATAAAAGGATGTAGAAGGCTGAACAGTGCCCCCAAAACACATGTCCACCTGGAACCTGTGGATGGGACCTTATTTGGAAAAGGGATCTCGCAGGTGTAATTACAGTGAGGTGTAATTCTTGAGGCGAAAAGGAAACTCAATATATCTTGAACTGTGTTTTAACGTTGGTGCCACTAATCTATATTTTTACCAGATACCGGTTCTGATTTCTAGAAGTTAAAGATTCACTAGTAATCCTAATAACAGGTAATTTATTAACTTATTAAATACCCATTAAGTATTTTAGTAGGCTGAACGATAGTCCCCAAACACATCAGGTCCTAATCCTTGGAAACCGTGAACGTGACCTGATCAGCAAGACTGTTTCCACAGTAAAGGTCGCACCAGGACCCCCGCAAATGCCCTCCTCCCAGCCCCCCGTCTCTGCCCCCAACATCCCCTGCTCTCCGATATCCCTGGTTTTCACAGGGCATTTTTAGGGCAGGGAACTACTGTGCGTGACACTGTTATGGTGGACACATGACATCATGCCTTCGTCAAAGCCCACAGGGCTGTGCAAACACAGAGTGAACCCTCCTACTGTGGAAACGTTAGTTAGTAACAGTGTATCCAGGTTGGCTCATCAGTTGTAACGAATGTATCACACCAATGCAAGATGTTAATAATAGGAGAAACTGTGGCAGGGTGCAGAGGTATGTGGGAACTCTCTGTCCTTTCTACGCGATTTTTCTATAAACCTAAAACTGCTTAAAAAAATAAAGTCTTTTGAGAAAAAATCTCCGGTTGTCCTTTCAAACAAGGAAGCCTGCCAGTCGGGTCAGCCTGGCTGCCCTTGCCACTTCTTGAGATGGTCTGTATTTCTAGCCCTGGTCACAGTTCCTCGGGTGTCAGGACTCCCATACCCGGCTGCCGGCGGCCCTGGGCGCGCTAGGGTCCTGCTTCCTGTAGGGCCCTACCAGCCCCGAGCCTGACCTGCGCCGCCTCAGCTCAGAGCTTCGAAGGAGCACTTGGCGCCGGCCCCGCCCAGGCCCTGCCCAGGCCCCGCCCATACCCTACTATGGCCCCGCCCCTTTCCAGGCTCCACCCCGATGCCAGCCCCGCCCCTGCCCAGGCCCCGCCCCTCACATTCGCACTCATAGTGGTAGTCACAGGGGTTGCTCTGGTTCTGCACTTTGACCGGCTCGTGCTGGTTCGCGCAGGTCACGTTGGCCACGGACTTCGGCTCCAGCAGGACGATGTGGTTGTCACCCTCGCACCTGGCCCGGGTGCAGTCCGACAGGGTCCAGGTCTCGTTCACCTGGCGACAGATAACGGCTCACGTGACCCCACCCGGCCGAGGTCTGCCCATCCGTCCCCCACCGCCCAGCACCTGCCTGCAGACACAGGTCCCCAAGGGAGACCTGGAACCAGGGGAGGGACCAGCCGTCCCAGTCCTGGACCCTGAGCACCCTTCCCTCAAGCCAGAGCGCTGGGGACAGGGGCCCAGACAGGGCCAGCGAGGGCAGGCGGGGATGTGTCATGACCTTGCCCCCCAGGGGCCTTCGGCAGGCCTGGGCAGGGGCTGTGCCCCGACCAACCATCCCAGCGGGGCAGACCCAGTGCAGGACAGGGGGAGACAGAGGGAGAGTGCACAAGAGGCACCTGTCGGGGAGGGTTGGTGTGGTTGCACCCTGGAGCAGGGGAGGGTGGGGGCGTGGCAACGGGGGTGGTGGACGGCGCCACAGAGGAGGCAGGTGGCGAGGTAGTGGAGCAGGCGCCCTGGAAGCGGTCAATGTCACACTGCTGGTTGCAAATGGCATAGAAGTGGCAGCCGGCCCTGTCGGTTTTATTGTACACGATGTCCCCTGGGAAGGAGAAAAGCCACAGGAAGATTCCACAAATGGTGCTGAGACAAGTGGACAACCACGTACAAGGATGTGCACGTGGACACAGACCTCAGACTTCTTAGAAAACTAAATCAGAATGCACCCTAGACCCAAATGTAAGTCAGGGAGCTCCACAACTTCTAGAGGCTGATGTAGGAGAAGAAGCCAGGCGATCTGGGCTTTGGAGATGACTTTTTAGCCACAACACCAAAACCTAGATCCATAGAGGAAAAAAGTGATAAGGTGGCCTTCATGAAAGTGAAGGTCGTCTCCTCTGCAAAAGACATCGTTAAGACAATGAAAAGACAAGCCACAGACTAGGAGAAAATACCGATCATCTGTAATAAAGGACTTATATCCAAGATACAGAAAAGAACTCCTAAAACTAAAGAACAAGAAAATAAACAACCCAATTAAAAAAAAGGCAGAAGCTCTAAACAGACACCTCACCAAAGAAGATACACAGCTGGCAAATAAGCATGTGAAAAGATGCTGAACCCCGGCTGTCATTAGGGAATTGCAAATTAAAACAACAATGAGATACTACTACAGCCATGTTGTTGTCGTTAGGTGTGTTGAGTCGATCTTTGACTCACAGCCACCCCATGTGACACAGTAGAACTGCCCCATTGGGTTTCCTAGGTTGTAATGTTTACAGGAGCGGATCACCAGGTGTTCTCCTAGGGAGCCACTGTGTGGGTTCCAACTGCTGACCTTTTCGTTGGCAGCCGAGTGCTTAACCACTGTGCCACCAGAGCTCCTTACACATCTATTAGAATGGCTAAAATCCAAACCACTGGAACATCAACTGCTGGAGAAGATGTGGAGCAACAGGAACTTTCATTCATTGCTGGTGGGAATGTAACATGGCAGAGCTGCTTTGGAAGGCAGGCTGGTGGTTTCTTACAAAAACTAAATGTGGTCTTACTATTGATCCAGCAATCATGCTCCTAGGTGTTCACCCAAATGAGGTGGAAACTCATGTCCACATAGAAACCTGCTCACGAATGTTTCTAGCAGCCTTATTCATAATCATCAACAATGGGAAGCAACCAAGATGTCCTTCAACAGTTAATGGATAAACAAATGGCTGCATCCATTTTTCAGTGATGAGAAAAACAAAACAAAAAAGAGCAATCAATCCATGGAAAGATATGGAGGAACCCTAAAAACATACTGTTCAGTGAAAGAAGCCACTCTGAAAAAGCTGTGAGCTGAAAGATTCCAACTATATGACATTCAGAAAAAGGTCAAACTTAGGAGCCCTGGCGATGCCGTTGTTTAAGCACTTGGCTCCTAACCTAAAGGTGAGCAGTTTGAATCCACCAGTGGCTCTGCAGGAGAAAGATGTGGCAATCTGCTTCTGTAAATATTAAAAAAAAAAAACCATTGCCGTCAAGTCATTCTGACTCATAGCGACCCTATAGGACAGAGTAGAACTGCCCCAATATGGTTTCCAAGGCTGCAGTCTTAACAGAAGCAGACTGCCACATCTTTCTCCAACAGAGCGGCTGGTGGGTTGGAACCGCTGACCTTAGGTTAGTAGCCACACATCCTTGGAAACCCTACGGGGCAGTTCTACTCTGCCCTGCAGGATCGCTATAAGTTGAAATCGACTCAATGGCATGGAGTTAAACTGGTTTATAGACAGTGAAGAGATCAGTGGTTGCCAGAGGGAGAGAGGGAGGAGAGAGGGCTGAGAAGGCGGACCGCAGAGTGTTTCTAGGGCAGTGAAACTACTCTGTATGATCCTGTAATGGTGGGCACATGACTCTATACATTTGTCAAGACTCACAGGACTGTGCAACAGAGTGAACCTCGGGTAAACCGTGGACTTTAGTGGGCAACAATGTATCAACAGTGGTTCATCAGTTGGAACAAATGTTACACCTAGTCTGTGGCTTGGCTTTTCATTGTCTTAACAATGTCTTTTGCAGAGGAGACGATCTTCATTTTCATGAAGGCCACCTTATCACTTTTTTCCTCTATGGATCTAGGTTTTGGTGTTGTGGCTAAAAAGTCATCTCCAAAGCCCAGATCGCCTGGCTTCTTCTCCTATGTCAGGTTCTAGAAGTTGTGGAGCTCCCTGACTTACATTTGGGGAAAGAGGGGATATATAGGAACTCTGCATGTTTTGCACAATTTGTCTGTAAACCTACTGCTGCTTAGCAGCTCTGGTGGTGTAGTGCTTAAGAGCTCGCTGCTAACCAAAAGGTCAGCAGTTTGAATCCACCATCTGCTCCTTGGAAACCCTGTGGAGAGTTCTACTCTGTCCTATAGGGTTGCTATGAGTCGGAATTGACTTGATGGCAACCGTGTGTTCTTTTTCTTTCTTTACCACTGCTCTAGGCTCTGCTACTCTAAGCTCCAAAAGGGCAGTGGTTAGAACCCACCAGCCACTCTGTGGCAGAAAGATGTGGCAGTCGGCTTCTATAAAGATTTACAGCCTTGGAAACCCTAAGGGGCCGTTGTACTCTGCCCTATAGGGTCACTGTGAGTAAAAATCAGCTCAATGGCGATGGGTTTTGTTTTATGGAATTTTTTTTTTTTTTTTAATCAGATGGAGACAGGGAGATCGGAGCTCCAGGGCTGGTGCCAGGGAGGAATCAGGACATGAGGGGGTGAGGAGAGGGCAGGGAGCCATGGAAGACTGCGGGATGCTCACGGCCCTGGGACTCCCATGTGGCTGGTGGAGGAGAGCCGGTGGCTCAGGAAATTGCAGTTTCCCATGTACACAGACCCAGCTGGAAGTCCTGCCTGGAGGGGGAGGAGGGTTCCAGTACTCACCTGGGGAGAAGAGCGTGCCGAATGCCTGGCAATAGCAGCGGACGGTGGAGGTAAAGCTGGGTGAGGACGTGGGCCTGAGCGTGGTGAGGACAGGTGTAGATGAAGTGGACACGCCGAATGTGGACAGGCTGACGGGCAGGCCCGAAGGTGTTTGGGAGCTCTGGGTGCCCAGCCGTGATGTCAGCAGTGCCACGGTGGTGGTCACCCCAGGTGTGGGTGGTGACACGGTCCTGGTGCTGCTGGCCTCAGGTGTCAAAGTTGTCAGGGTGGTCCCAGTGCTGGTGACCCCGGGCGTGGGGGATGAAGGTGTGTTCCGGGTGC